TGTGTGACGTGCACTTGTACATAAAATATAGGCCTATATTACTGAAGGTTCATTAGTACGCTTTTGTATTTCTCTGTAATGTAGTACAGTGTTAATAATGTTACTGATACTATTCTTTCTCACACCTTCAACTCAAACCACCAAAATATATCATTTAATAAATTAACTAATATCGCAAACATGTGGGCGACTAGTTGACTAATGGCCCTAAATGACGACTTTTGGTCGATTAGGAAAATTCTTAGTCGGGGGCAGCCCTACTAATGACAGGCAAAGACCTTAACTCTGGAGCAGTAACAGTATTTCTGAAGTGCACCTTATAAGTTCTCCAAATATATTACTTATTTCATACATAACTGTGTAAATATTCTATTTTTTTCTATTACTTTTTATACTGAAAGGTTCTGTCTTTCCCTGTAACGTCCTGCTGGATAACTCCAGCACCAGCTCATGTGTTACCCAGGTGAGCCAGAGCAGCATAAAGCTGATGAGTGAGGGAACAAGAGGAGAATCAGAGGGAGGGGTGGAGAGTTAAGAGAAAAGAGAGGATGACTGCAGCTGGAGCTGAATAATGTAGGGTAATGTGATCTCATATTGCCACTGACTGCCACTGCAAACAAAAGGGCCAGGTTTCCACTGCACCTGGCCTGCTAACCTGGGATAGTACTTAGAGAGGTGAGTGGCTCCATGACATGTTTCTGTGAACTCTTTGACATATAAATACTCTGTAGGCGGAAAAACTCCTGAATAACCTAATTCAAGTACCTTATACAATAAATATTTTCTCAAGAAAACAGAAGGCTTTGTATTCGACTACAGCCACAGTATAAAGGAGCTTCTATTCTGACCAATGCTGAAATCATCAGAGTGAGATATTAGTCAGAAAGTGAAGCACTATTGTGAACTTATTCACATGCTTTACTGCTCGAACTGTGTTCACAGTGAACTCAGGTTTAACAGTTCAGCAGGTTTCCAATTTGTTGTTCATACCTGCATTAAAAGTCATCATGGTCCACAGTACCTCTCCTCTTTTGTTACCTGCTTCCTCCCTTGGCCTTGCTAAAGAACTTCATCCATTCAAGTAATTTTTTCCGAGCTTTCTTGCACAGTGAGATCTTTGCCAGGCGCCCATTTGCCCTCTCAACAGTCCACCAACACTTGTATCTCAGCAGAAAACAATCTGCACCTTTCATTCTCTCTTCCTGTTCATTATTTTTGCATCTATTCCTTTGCAACACGTACAATTCAAGGACGTAAAAGAAAACAATCAAGAATAATTTGTTGCTACTCGTTCAAAGAGAGTAATCAATAATTAATAGCTTACTGTTCTCCTCTCTTTCCTGCCATTTACTCCTCTGAAGCCTGAACACTAGTTGTTGCTTTGAACTAAGTTGGACTGTTTACAGACCACACAGTCAATCAGTGAAGTGTTTCACTCTACTGCATAAACCTGAGACCTTCACAGTCTGACCAGTACTTCAGTTTTTAAAGGGGAACTAATGATTTTTTCAACCTGGGCCCTATTTTCCGATCTACTTTTGTCTAAATGAGTGATAGGATGTTCAATATTTGACATTTCTCCAGTATGAAGCTAGAGCTGACCTGCCTGCAGCCCGTGAACGCGCGCTATACTAAATAATAGGGCACTCGGACAGTGTCAAGCAACGTCAAAATACGTCCACTAAAAGTGCATTTTTTTCACACAGATAGGCTTGGATTGTTAGTATAATTATCCGACAACATAACGAAAAGGAGAAATGAACGTCTGTGTTTACCTTTAGCTGGATTCGGACATGTTCCTCTGCCCGTTGCTGCTCCCTCTCTCTCCTCGTCCGCTCTTCAATATCAATGAGCTCTGCGTCTGTGTACCTCCATGTACTCCGTGTTCAAATAAATACGGGTGGTCATCAAACTCAAATGGCTCATTCAGATCCAGTTGGTCAAAATCGGGTAAAAATTCGGACATGTTTGTTGTGGCAAGTCAAATCTCACGTCTCACGAGATTCTTCTTCTTCTTCTTTGGTGTTTTAATATACAGTCTATCGTGTTTTACGGCAGTTGGTCTCGCGAGACTTGAGTTGTTGCAGGAAGTTAACATTGGAGCAAGCTTACAAATGTGAGGAAGTGTTTTGACTTGCCACAACAAATATGTCCGATTCCAGCTAAAGGTAAACAGACATTCATTTCTCCTTTCCATTATGTTGAATGTATTTTGACGCTGTTTGACGCTGTTTGAGTGCCCTATTATGTTATATAGCGCACGCTCACGAGCTGTTTGATTTAGTCATAAAATGTATACTTGCTCGTTAGTGATGTTTGAAAAGCATATCCCAAAATCAGGTGAAAAGTCTGCAGGAATGAGACACAATCAACCCTCGACAACCAAGACAGCCACTTGCAGCTCAAAATAGCTATTGTTCTTAAATGTTTAGTAACTTTTAAACTGCTAATCCTCTCTACATGCTTTAAAAAGTCACGTAAAGTTAAGAATCTCAGCTTTTCATTGGTATCACATATGTTTTGTTTGGACATTTAGAGGCTCCGTAGTGAACATGACTACGCCATTGCATTTTGCAGCATTGATTCCACAAGAAAACCAAAGTAGTTCAGTCCTCTGAGCCAAACAGCTGTCTGTGTGCAGCTACTCTGAGGTGTTGTACACATAGTAGCACAGTGACATAATACATGGTTTGAAGACCAACATTAGCATGTTTTTACACTCATGTCCTTAATGTCATGTATGTTTTTACAGTGAACCACTTTTTAAAGCATAACACTGTCAGTATTCAAGGCAGCCTCCAGGTCCATTTATATAAATACACGTTGAAATTTGACTTGCAGAGACTTGAAAATGACTTGGCTGGTAATCCATGACAGAGAGCATCATGTCTGTTTTATTGTTGCCACTTAAGTAATCATTAGGAGATAATGCAGCTTAAAGCGAGGGTTGATTTGTAAACAATGCACTACATTACAGCACACAGTGATAAAGCATTACTGGCAGTGGACAGGACTAAAAGGACACACAACTTACCACAAGTCATGTGTTCATACCAGAGTAGTGTATGTATAGTGATGTAATGTACAGTGTGAACAAAAGGAGTATAATCCTTCAGTTGGATTGATTTTCTCAATTAACAGATCATTTGCTTGGCCTCTACACCAGTCAAGTTTCTCTTACAATTTACATCTATGTCTGTGAAAACATGGATGCCTCAAACACATCTTAACCCCAGCAGCACAGATCTATACAATCAGCACAGTTTCAAGGTGGACATCCAAGATTAGAGTCACTGATGCAGTATCTGACAAAATGTCTCCTCTTCTATTCCTGAGATATGACAAATAATGGCCAAAGTGTTTTTGCAGAACATTGTGATGTCACAGTGAAGTTGACCTTTGACCTTTTGGATATAAAGGGTCTTCACTTCATTCATTTTATCCTGTTAGACATTTGTATGAAGTTTTGTCATAATAATGTATGAATTCTCAGTTTTGGCCAAAAAACATGCTTGTGAGGTCACAGTGACCTTGACCCTTGACCTTCAACCACTAAAGTCTAATTGGTTCATCATTTGCTAGTGAACATTTGTGCCAAATTTGAAGAAATTCTCTCAAGGTGTTGAGATGTCGGGTTCACAAGAATGAGACAGACACAAGGTCCTTGACATTTAGCCACCAAAAGCTCATAAGTTCATTCTTGAGTCCAAGTGGACGTTTGTGCCAAATGTGAAAAAATTCCCTCAAGGCATTCTTGACATATCGCATTTATGAGAAAGGGACAGACAGACAAATGTATTTATGGACACACTAACAGACGGACAACCTGAAAATGTAATGCCTCCAGCCACGACCAACTCTGGTGGAGAGACATAATCATATAAATCAATCTGCTTTGAAAAATGGTAAAATGGAAAAATGAGTAGTGTAAAGTGTAATGTGAACAGCAGACTTAGTCTCCTAGCTAGGCTACCTATGGAATCTTAATCCAAAAAAGTAAATGTCTTTGAATTTAATAGTTCCAGGACAGATTTGTCTTCTCTCACCGTCAACGCTGCATAGTTAAAGTACCAAAACCTATTGATTGCCCACTGCAGAGTAGCCATCTTGTGGTAAAACATATTGATGAATGTCCACCTAGACCTATCAGTGATTATAATTATGTTTTGTGCCTTCAGACAGATTTTTTAAAACTATTTTTGGTCGAAAATGGCTCTTTTGATAGTGAAGGTTGCCCACCCCTGATTTACACTATAAAATACTGAATAAAAAGGAAAAAATTAAATAAATAACGACCATTACTATTTCCTAAAGTGCAAGCTGATATATAAAAATTCTCTAGGTCCAACTAATAACCCAAATCCCAAATATACTCAGTTTACTATCGTTTAAAAAGAAAAATAGAAGAAAATCCTGTTTAAGAAGCTGGAACAAGTGAATTTTTGTTTTTAAGATGACTTAAATGATTAAATGAGCATCAGAACTTTTAGACAAATTGATTTAAAGGACTAATAAATCCGATAAATAAATCAAATGTTTCACTTACTCTTAACAAAGTAGGCTAGTTTCTGTTTTTTGGGAATGTACATGAAGCAGTAATGCGCTGTGTAGCAGCTTTTGACAGCAAAATCCAACTCAACATATTTTCATATTTACAGTAGCAACAATGATCCATAGATGTGGCAAGCTGGTGTTACTGTCACACATTGACCAGCCTCATGAGATCCATGACAGTTGTAGTAAAACAGCCAGTAATCCCACAGTGTAGAAGAATTACTGTGATGCTAATCATGTTAGCATCAGTGCTGCAGGGCAGGGAATCCTACTAGCAGACAGTGCAGCGAGCTAGTGATCCATCAGCATCAGCACTGCATTACATTCGGTTTTGATCTTAATTATTGGCTTTGACTGAAGACAACAAGATCTCATCAACACTGCCTCGATCTCTCCCTCATTTTTTCTCACCACCCCTCCCTCCTTGCCCTCCTCCCCCTCCTCACCAGTGTGACAGGCAGCAGGATAGTGAGCAGGGCAATGTGATGCAGCACCAGCAGGAACTCTCTGCGGACAAAGGAGTTCACGGTCCTCAGCGAATGCTGCTTGTAGTCCTCGTGCCCTTTGACGCGGAAGCGGTGATAGTGACTGAGGTACATGGCGAAGATGTCGTACGTCATGTAGGGCACACCGTACCAGATGACAAAGTAGGTGGCCAGCCAGTGCCTGAGGAAGACCAAAGAAAATACATGTCAATATTCATATGTACATACTCAATAACACTGAGACTGCCATCTAAATTCATGCTTATTTCTCTTTTCATACAACAATGATTTTGTCAGGTTTGCCCTTCACACTACCGAAGTGCAAGCAACTCCAAACTGTGCACAAGAAGAGGGGGGCAGGGCGCTGATGTAAATAAATCTAACGAGAGTGACAGACAGCGGAGGGAAATGAGATGACAGAAAAAGCCTTTTAGGAACAACAAACTGTGACAAAATTGTGTAAACCCAGCAAAATCACTAGGGATGCACCGAAATGAAAATTTGTGGCCGAAGCCGAAGCCGAATATTATTAAACGCTTGGCCGAAAACCAAGTACCTAATACCGAATATCATTGTTTACTTTTTCATTAGTTTTTGCAGATGAACTCCATCCAGATTAGTGTTGTCACAGTACCAAAATTGGGACCCACTGTGCGATACCAGTGAAAGTATCACGGTTCTGAGTAGTATCACAATACCACAGCAAAAATGAGGCAGATGTGCCTTTTGTCATTTATGAAAAGATGAATGACTTTTCTATAATACATCAATGATATTTCAATGGAATAAATTACTTATTGACTTATTCATACTTCAAAAACAGCATCAAAAAGTGATGAACATAGGGGGGATCAAAATAAAATAAATAAATAAAATAAAAATCAACCAGCCACCCTCCTCCCCTGACAGTCCCTTCATAAGTAACGAACAGTCCCTAAAGTGCGGTGAGGTTTGTGGGCCGTTACTGACACAAAGACAGAAATGTGAAAGGCTCGTTTCTCCTCTGACACATCACATACCTGTGTACGGCTGGCTCGGCTGTTCAGGTACTTCTGGGCAGTCATGACGCCAAGAAGAGGATATTATTGGAGCCGACTTCTCCGTCGCCCGGTAAGCCGATGGCCGCCGTATTTGACAGGAATACATTAACGTTACTGTCTGTGTCTGTGACCCCCGTTCAACCCACAACCGATGGGATTCGCGTTTCGTTTCTGCTGCTGGGTGAAATCTGTAGGCTGCTCGCACAGCATGCTGAATGATTTAAGCCTATTTTGCTCGCTCAAAACTATTTTTAGTCGCAAATGCGAGTGCAGTGACGGATGGATCGCCACACTGCCGACATTTTATTCCGTCCGTCACAGCACGCTGTTTGATTGCGTTACCAAAACACGCCGCTATTATTCGGCCTTGCTTTTAACTTATTCCACTGAATACCGAATGTGTGAATATATTCGGTTACCGAATATTCGGTGCATCCCTAAAAATCACCGTGGCTGTACTGAGGAGAAGTTGTGAGTGAAATATGCTGTGCGAAACCAAACTTAGACTACTTAAAACCTGACACAAAAAAACGGTGAAGTAATCAAGAGGAGGAAAACTTTGTCAGAAGATCTCTGTCGCCGACCTCTGCACTGCAGTGGAACCTTAAAAAACCTACAGAGGCTATGACTTATGGCTTTACTAAAGGTTGAACCAAACAAACGCTACTCAACTTTTCATATGTTGTTCTACCTGCTTGAATGTTCCTTATAGGGGTGTGCCATATCATCTCATTCACAATTATACCAGTACAATTTTTAGTATCATATGAAAAATTCATATTGTGAAATTATCATTGACTCCGCGGTGGTTCCAAAAAGAGGAGCAGCTTCAGTAGTGTGGAATAAACTGAATGTTTTATGAGCAGCCCCGGACTTCTCAGACTCTTTTAGCGACTTATCGCTCAGGGGGAACTCATTCAGCAGCTCCTCTGGCAGCAGCACAGCATCTCTCCCTCTCCTCTCTCGCCATGTGCACACGGGAGTCGGTGTCGTCAAGTGATTTTGTCATAAACCTTTGGTAATGTAAACCTATGTGACACTCACGGCTCGACAAAAAACTCCATATATGTGAACGTGTGATAGTTGTGGGATCATAAGAGCCTGTCACAGGTTACAGCGTGATGATTAGAGGAGAAATGGCAGAGCATAAAGGTCCAGGTGGAAAAAAAAAACCAAGTCAATCATTTAGGATTTTACTAAAAGAAGGAAATTACCTTTATTAAAATATATGTATCACAGGGTATTTTTTTTGTATTTGAGAACTGTTTAAATGTGTAATGGCACTACCCTGCTGGAGTTTGGAAGTTGAACAAAAATGTTTTGTAAAACAAAGGACCATCCATTTTGAAAGCACAGTCCCTTCATGACTGGACTAGTCCTCAATCTTTTGATGCACCAGGATACATCTCGTGATACGTAATTTGTCCATTGGGCTTATTTTCTTATCTATTTATATAGTGTGTCCTTTAAAAAAATCTCAATTTCGAGTAGGAAAAAAAATCTGATTCTCACTTGGACCTGAATCGTGCAGCCTTTTCAACATTCACGAGTCTTACGTAATATAAGCAAATGGCCATCTTACAGTCAGTGATGGGTTAAGCAGTGTTATGTCAGTATTCAGTTCTGGTAGACGCTGGAGTCGATGGTAAACTGAATGACCTTTAGTTTCAGTTAAAGTAAACACACACCACAGACTCATTTAACCTATATGCCTTGCCTCTCTCACACAAGCATGCACAGCCTTTAAGGCAGGCTTATGTAAGTACAGTATAATAAACAGCTTGGAAGGCTGCAGCACTCTAATGAGCACCGATTACCGTGATGGTTAATTATGTGGACAGCACGCAGTAAAGCTGCAGGGCAGAGCTGAGCCACTGACCTCTGACCTCTGACTGGGCTCTTCAGCTCTTAAGGTCACTGAATGGAGATTAAGAGCAGTAAGGCACAACAAACAGCTCAGGGGAGAATGAAGGCTGCAGGAGCCGACTTTGTAGGATGTATGTATAGTGTACTGAGGGAAACAGAAAAAACAGATGAACTGTTTAAGGTAGTCTACAAGAAGGACTGACCTAAACAAGAATTATATTAAAGCTACCTGTTTATTTGGATTTATAGCTTTAAAGCTTTGCAGCATATATAATTTCAGTACTGTAACACATTAATGTGTAGAGAAGTTTTAAGGGATAATTCCAGTCTATTACAACTTTGGCCATGTTTTTGTGTCTTTCAGCATTATTTTCATTAGTAAAAATAACACTGTACGCACCAAAGTCAACTGTTTATCATAGAAACTGGCCGGTGGCGTAGGGGCAGGAACACAAGCAGTCAGATGATCAGACAGGTTTTAAACAAATCAGCCTCATTATTTAGCCTCAAACACTTAATTTTTAGGGTTAAACCAAAAGTGATCACTGTGGTTTGATCGATAAATAAAGCAAGCTGATGTCTTAGGGTCAATTTTAGGTTATCGTAGATATATTGGTATGAGCCTACCAGAGGTGGGACTGAGTCATTTGTTAAGTTTACATGACATTAGGTCTTTTAAAACACACAAACATGTTAGTCCGACTGAAATTGCACTAAGTCAAATACCTCAAAGTCGGACTAATACACCAAGATAAGTTTGGGAGTTTAATTATTCTTGCATGTATACAGTAAATTGGACCCAAACTGGCCTAAGCGCTCTGCGCATGCTCCACAGTTTCCGCCCCGGGTTTTGACCCAGACGTCCAATAGCATTAAATGTATAACATAAGAAGAAGCTGGTAACAACATGGAGAAATCTACATCCAGAGCTGTGCATCTTTAGACAGATGAGGAGACACAGTTCATGCTGTGTCAGCTGAAAGAGTTGAATATTTTATAATATATGAATGGGAGGAAAACACAGAATGGCGACTGTTTGGTCTGTGATGTCATAGGTCAACCACAAAAAGGTCCAACTCCAACAAGCTGAAAAGGGGTGTATTCCCAACTATCGTAGCAGAGTCAGAAGTACTTTGATAAAGAAATCAATTTCCCTTCCCGTGCTCATATACTGGCACAAGGACAGCCAGACTCCGGGGTTTTTTCGGACCTAACTGTATTGCAGTGTGAGTTTTGCACAGCGGCGACCGGATCTTTGCTCTCAAACCACAAAAAAATGTGATGGCACAACAGTCTCCTTCAATACATTATTCTATGCTTTCTTTTGATTTTCACATTGGCTAGTCATCCTGTTTAATTTGTCTTCTGATTAAATTGGAATCGTTGAAACAAGTTGTAGGAAGCCTCTGCAAGTAATTGGTTGCTGGCAGACACTCTGTGCTGCAATAAAATGGTTAATCAGCAGTGCTGTGCACTGTAGAGCCGATGCGCTGCTGGTTCTGCCAGCCTGAATAGAATATAATGTCTATAGCCTTACTGTTGTGTACAGGCTTTATAGACTGAGTGATGCGCGGGTCAACCCGTAACTCGCGGGACCCACAAATGGACCTGCGCGTCGGGCAGCAGTGATCGTCTGTAAATGATATTTTAACATTATTATTATAATCTATAATCTATTACTGTCATGGCATCCGAAGGTACTGATGCGTTGAGCAGGTGGCAGTCCGCGGTCGTTTTCAAAACACACTTGTGTCACGCACTCCAAAAGAAACTTGTTGAAACTTTAAACAATAATTTATTGTACAAAACGGGGGAAACAAACGTTGATAAAAACGGTTCCATGATTCATATTAAATTCAAAAGATAACAAAAAAACAGCTACAAGTTAGAGGGAACAGTGATAAAGTGGTAGAACTTGGCATTGATCCACAGCCTCAGACGGATGTGCTCAAGCGTGCCGTGCGCACAAGCTCAGTTGGTAGGCTATACTATATTTTCACATTTTTAACAATGCAATTTAAAAGTTTTGATTTTTATTGATAACCTACATTTACCAACAACAAAAGACTACATTTAGCACCAAAAAAATATGTTAAAAAAAAACAACAAAAAAACGAATGTCGAATACCAAATTTTCATAACAGATACTTACCCACAGAAACGAATATTCAAATATCTGAATATCTGGGTACAGCCCTAGTTTGTATGCTCATAAATGCCAATCAATCGTAAACTGACAGTGCACTCCTGCTCGTCAGCAATTAGCATACATCCCCACCTATAAATAATCAATGACCATATAAGGAGGTGATAATTAATACGGATAGGTGCATCCTGTCGACCTGCGAACATGATGCAAACAAAGAAAGACAAAGATAACCTTTTTGGCACTGAGACTGAAATTATTTTGGTTGAAGTAGGGTTGTCTCAGGGGAGACAGCGACATGCCTCCACTGGAGCAGTCAAGAGCAAACTCAGAAGGTACAGTGACGTACATGTTATATTAGTTTAAAGTCACTACACATTCTGAGTATCTATTTTTATCCTATAGAGATCCTTTAAAAATGTTAACATATATATGTAAAACAAAAAAATCAGCCAAAAACTCTTAACTATTAGTAACAGCCATAAAAGGTTGGGTGAACACACCTAAAATGTTGACACCAATCCCTTACAGCCTACAGAAAGTATGATAGGTCAAATTTCAATCAGAAAACCAGTCTGCAAACTATGATGTAGTTTAAAATCTGTCTGCTCATGATTGTTTTCCCATTTAAATTCTGTTATGGTGCTGCTGCACTCCCAAAGCTCTGTCCTCACAAAGTTAATAACAGTTTTTTAAGATCTGATAAGAAACCAGAATTTTCCTTTACATGACTACACAGACTTTTTATGACACTGGGTCAATGGAGCTTTTGGATGATGAGAACAAGGATACCAAAAGCATCCTTGTGTCGAGGTAGCATAAGCTACATGCTAACATACTCAGCATGCAGACATGGACATTCTCTCAGGTGTATAAAATACCTTTTCCTCAGTACTACAGTTTTTTTCCTTTGCAGAGCGTTGCAGAAGTTGCTGCATCCGAGGCAATGAAGGCTAAATAAAGTGACAGATTGTGATGGAGCATTAGAGTATTCGTGGGTTTGACTCTGGAGCATGTGTCTCCTAAGCTCTAGGCCGTGTGCACGTCACAGGACAGCAGAACTGAGCAGCGTTGTGGAGGAATTAAGCCCTGTGGGTGAAGGGGAGGGGCGGCGGAGATTAGCAGCCTGAAACTGGGCCTGCCCGGGTCTGGCCGCTGACTCAGTGGGATTAATACGCTAGCATTAGCTTAGCGTCACACTTCCCTAAACAGTACGGGGAAGCTATTGCTATGCTAACACTAAACTGCTGCCAGGTGGCTGATGTAGGGGACAGGAACAGAACAGAATAGGCTGTCCTTAAAAACAATATGGAGGACAAAAATATGAATACTTGTTAAACTAAAGGGAAAGTTGCCATTTTTACCCAGACTGTACATGACATAAAAACTGTGGCCTGACCTGCCTGTGATCTGAAGTGCATCAGGATGAAAACAGTATTGTAGCAACCTCTCTAGTACAGATATAGCACGGCGGTACAACTGTTTCTTCTTCAAGGATATTTAGGGCAGCTTAAACCCTGGACCATCCTGGTGTAAGTACACTGGTAACCCCTGTTTTCACCCTCGAGCAGCCATTGTATCACAGAGACTAGAAACACTGCTGCAAATGTACAAGAAAACTGGTGCATCATGTCTCGGATGGACATCGGATTCAGATTCACACCTGAGAGTGCCGTCGCATTTACAGTTATACACCTATGGAGAGTGCTACGACGATGGACTGACAGTGGATGATTCCTGATACAATCACTGACCTTTCCTCTACATTCATCATCAGGCCATACTTCACTTTGTCCCTGAGATGGCATCTCAAAAATACACTAAATTTCCTCAAATGGTCAGAATTATCTTTTGTACACAAGAAGTATATAAATGTCGAGACTACCCAGTTCATGCTCCCCTGAGGATGAACCCTTCCTATTTTGGCACTCAACAATCTTTCCTATAGATCACTGAAGGCGTTTTCAGGCCAAACAGCTCCTGAGACTCCCTGACTCCATGTTACGTCATGTCCAGGGGCTGCGCGAAATGTTTCTGAAGGCTGCCATTGACCACATTTTGAAAACAATGTTATAAAGTAATAAAAAGCACATTTTGCTGGCCACTGTAAGGACAAATTTTACATTTCTAGCTCTTCTGTAATTATCAGCAAAACTGTCGGTATACCAGTGATGCACACAGGTGGGTGTGTGAGACCTTGTGAATTTCACCATCTCTAAAGTGGTTCTCTAAAGACGAAATTGCCAGGTAGGTAGTTTTTTTTAAGTAGTTTTTATTAGGGCTGTAGTCAACCAAAGAAAATCTTGGTCGACTAAAGTCGCACATAATCTTCCAACTAATCGATTTGAGTCGAGTTGTGGGGGGGGGGGGAATCTGCACTTTATTTTTACTTCTGCGGTGGTGTGTCTGTGTCACTCTGCAGTTACACCTCCAAAACACTAGTCGGCAGTGGAGGACTGTGATAAGTGCTGTAAAGTTGAGTTCAAATCAAACTTTATTTATATAGTTGATTCAAAACACACATTAAACATGGCTTAATAGAGACAATTTCAAACACAAGTATGCAAATTGGCTTCACTATAAATCACAGAACTGACAGACAAACACTTGTCTTTATCTGGACACATTTTCCCCACCAATACAACATGCTAGTGTTATTAGCACAAGCCTATGGCATTTTACATTGTATAAATTAGCCTAGCGTGTAGCGATCTTTTCCTCTTCTCATATGAAACCAGGGACAACAGCAACATTCAACAAAGGTAATGGCACTCAATGTGGCTCCCTTACAACTCACAAGGTTCACCGACAAAAGAACTGTCTTAAACTAAACACGTTTTCCAAGCAAAAACAACATGCTAACATTATTAGCACAAGCCTATGGCATTTTACATGGTATATATTAGCCTAGCGACAAGCGGAGATTTCCTCTGCTCATATGAAGCCAGGATAAATCCCTAAGTATAAATCCCTGAAGGATCGATCACACACAAGACTTATAATGCTATTTTAGTGGAGGCCTTACTGTCTTCACAATTTATTGTTTCTTATCTGTGAAACTAAAGTAAATACAAGCTTTGTTTCCACTGAGGGAAATGGTTTCAATTGGTGGTCCATTTAGTGCACTGTTGCGTGTCCAGACTTCCAATCTTAGCCCAGAAGCTAAAGTTAGCTATCCTGCCACTTGTTTGTGCATTTAATCCTTTCAGGCAAGCTCAGGGGTTTTAATGTTGCCGTAGCCCACAAGCACACCGCTCCGCAACACTTTTTACCTCTGGAGGCACAGCCTAGAGTTTTTCGACTAACGGAAGTGTAGGGGCCTCGGCGATCGCTCACGCCCTTCACTTCCGGCGGTGCCCCCAGGGAATCGCCGTGTTGTTTACAAATACTTCGGGTAGAAAACCAGCAAAGTTTAGCTATATATCACATTTTTCACGTCACTATATCACCGTTTAGACTAATGTGATGTTTGTTAAGTCTATAAACACAATGACTGAACAAACATTACTATTTCTGTGTGCACGTTTTGTAATAATAACATGGTTATTGTAGATTAGCTGGGCTAACCGTTAGCTGTTAACGTTAGCCGTTAGCGGTGTCTGTAATAACCATAGACTGTATAAAAATAAGGTAATAACTCAATAAATGGTCCGTGAATAAAATATTTTTTCCAGCGGATATCTTAGTTACAACATGATTGAGCTATTGAGCTATCATGATGTCTAGAAAGCAGCAGTGGCTGCAGCTGACAGGGACAGTTAGCAAAGCTAACACCAGGACGTCATCTGTTAAAAGCCTCCCGTTGTCGGATACGACATGAAACTACTCCATTTAGCTCAATCATGTTGTAACTAAGACATCCGCTGGAAAAAATATTTTTTTTCACGTTGACGAAACAGCGTTTTGGGTGGAGCGGTCGCCATGGACGCGGAGCTTGCCGTTTCTGTAGGTACACATTTCCTGGACACCGGCACGTCTCGGCCACGCCCCCTCCATTGTGATTGGCTAAAGCACAGCATCGTTCAAACTCAAAGCCCCAAAAATGGGGACGGTACGAACAGTTCCATTAGTACCATCCACAACCTTTCAAAGTGGAAAATGCATACCTGATGGGTGCAGGTAAGAAACTGAGTGGGGAATGGGCCAAAACTAGTTACCACATATTACATGAAGGGGATCAGTGATATTGAAGTCTAACCTGTCATTAATGACGTTGCCCCGGCATGATGACACGACAATGATTCCTGCCGTGGTTGCCATGACAGCATGGATGGAGGACACCAGTCTGGGAGAAAGACACATAAAAAGATTATAAAAAGTGTCATATAAAGTGAGCAAACACATTTATAAACATTCATTAATCACACTCTGGGCGGTGACAGTATCTTATATAACATTAGGGTATTTATGTCTTGTGTTTTTAGACATGCCAGCCAAGGTCAGTCCAATGTTAGCAGGCTAACACACTAAACTAAGATAGTAAACATGGTAAACATGGTGCCTGCTAAGTACAGCCTCACAAAACAAATGTCCAATAAAATTATTTTGGCCTCTCCATGTGACTGACGTCTCTATGAGGGGAGTAAAACCTGATGAATGTAGGTCAAGTTTGGAAAGAAGTGTCTCTTCAGGTGAACTCAGTCAGACCTACAAGTTCAGTGTACCATCATGGGATTAGCAGTGCTTGGCTTCGACTCTCCTCATCTATAAACAGACCTGTGACATAAGAGAACTTGGTACAGAACTCTATTTGAAGTGTCACTGTGTGAGGTGGCGTAAGGCATACACAACATTGATAGGCGTCGCACCTATCTTAAAAGGTACACACACATGAACTTATGACATCTGTTAAACAGTAACTGGTACATTAAAAAGTGTTACTCACTGTGATGTTTTATGGCTGTAATGAAAGAAAATCTAAATTAATGTTCAGTTTACAGTCAAAGAGATGCTGATGTTTTTTTTCCAACAGAGTTAATTTGTGGCCATTTTAAACAGGACGCTGGATTATATCACCAATTTGTTCAAACTATGAATGTCCGCTTTTGCTCAGACGAGCTCTCTCCCTGGCCGCAATCCAACTTGGCAGCACTGACAGTAAGCTGCTTTGAAATCAGAAAACATGTAATTTATTCCCCAACACTCACTGCAGCCATAATAGACAGTCGCCCCTCTAACACAGCACTGTGTTTAAATGTCTCAGCTTTTCACAGCACCTTGTGGGGCTGGTTCACATCACCACCTACTCATCACCACCTACAGCAGCCAATGGAGACAAACATGGGTTACCTTGTGAATTTGCATCAAGTCCGACAATTACTCAGCCCTCGCTTGTTATCGATGAGAGGCCTGTTTAGGCTTGAGAGAAAACTAATTTTGAATTTAAACATATTCTTGTAGTTTATCGGCCTTGTTTAGGTTTAATACTGTGCTACAATTCCCTTTGCCATCAGAAATGAATCATATTTGCATATAAGACTGTACTTCTGGAGCTACACTTGTACAAATATAAAAAGGATTATGAAAGGAATTGTGGGCTTCGAAGGTCGAGATTGAGTCAGATGTTAGAAATATAATCAGCAGGGTGTCTAAAGGTATCAGACAGTTAGATTTAATGCTTTTCAAGACCCGTTCAAGACATGTATTTAACCAATTTTAGGACAGATTTTTGCACCAATCATGTTTTACTTATTTAAGCATCGCAGGTAAACATTGCAGTATGTATGTGGTCCTGTGCAGAGGTAGGTGTTATGTAGGAATATGGTTATTAGAGTGAGTCAATTGACATTTTGCCAGCAGGTTAATGCAGGTATCACATAAAATGATAGTATAATAGTTTTATTTTTTAAAGATTTGTAACATCAGAACACATCATGATAAATGTTTTAATTTACCTTCGCTTTATACTTATTTTTACCGAACAGAGCTTGAACGCATCATGATGTAACTCAATGCAACCTCTGTGGGCTGGTAGTTCAATAACGTTAATGGCTGCTAACAGCTAGGGATGCTGCTATCCAACTTTTTCACTTTCGATCCGATACCGATACCACAGCCCTAGTACCGATCCGATACCGATACCAATCCGATACCAGCACATATTTCTATCTCTCTGTTCTGACCAATAGGTTCACTTTTTTTAGTACTTATTTTGTAATGTGGAATAATAGAAAAGGCTTGATCAAGTGCTATTACTCAAAATGAAATTATGACAAAACTTGTGCCATTTATTAGATATTTAAATTTTTACACGTTTATACGTTTAATACACCTTTTGCATTCGGCCGTTCCGTCTTTTTCGCTTTTCAGAAGGAAGTACTGCCACGCCACTGACATTTTTTTCAACTATCTATTTTCACCCGGTTGTTGTTATCACATGACCTCCCCCTCCCGCTCTCCTCTCTTCTTCGTGTGTTACAATGAAGTGCTGGATGGAAAAGCTGTAGCAGATTTGTGGAATGGAGTGCTAGTATCGCAGTGCTAGCATCGCACCTTTCCCCTGCAGTGCGATCCGATCCACGTTTTTTGGCTGGATCGCAGCATATTTTTGATCCAGATCGCAGCATCCCTACTAACAGCTAACGTTAAGTAGCTCTCCTCCTGCCAGTGTCAACATGGATTTGTTGTTCCCAATGTAGCATTATCAGGGAAACAACAGGGTGGGTCCTCTGATGCAACAGCAGTGAGTTTACTGTGTCCTTTCAGCACGAAGGCTTCCCAAGGAAGACCTCTGTCACCTTATTTGCCAATAGGCCGATGGCAGTCAACAAGGCGAATATCGGCCGATATGTTCAGCTGATGAATCAGTGCATCCCTATAGGTGATGCTGTTTCTGTCCTCACGGTGTGCCGGTGTTGGACGGTGGGTCGCTGCTGCTGCTCGCTGTATGTGGGTATGCGCATTGCAAGTAGTTGCAAGTTTCAACTCATCACGTCACAAATCTTTGGTCTGAACTGAGTCAATGGAGCGCCTTACTAAAATAAGAGGCCTCATGTATTTCACGGCATTTTGTGTTTCTTTTTTCCTAAAAATTAACCGTTTAGCTACGGGTTAATGGGTTTTGGGCCACTGAAAGCAAAATTCATCTAAACTAGCATCCCTAATCTGAAGTTATAATAAGCAGCAATACACATCTTTTTTCCTGTAATTCACAATATACTTACAGCAAAGCCCCATGGAGCAACATATTGTCACAAAGCCCAAGACCCTCCCCAATACCACCGGACCCTTAACACATGTGGTTAGAGTCAATATCATTTGGGCCCTGCCTGACTCAGGTCCTGGCTCAGGTCTCAGGTTAGCAGGAACCAAGACGACCTGAGAATTCTCTTTGCGTAAGAAAAGCTTCAGACTTTTAGTCCTGCTGTAAATAATGACTAGTTTTACAAGGCCAATAAAGGCTGCCTTCTTTCTCTTTTTTTAACGTGTAAATCGTGTGTTGCAAGTGGCGAGATTGAGAAACAAAGAGTGTATTTGTGGGGCTTTCTGCTTGAACCTGCTGTCACCTCACACCAATCTCCATGGGAATGCGGCCATGACACCGGCATCGGCAAGGCAACGAAGGCCACGTGACCGGCAACTACAAAACCACAGGCCTGAGCTGGAAAAGACTGACTGGCCTCTCTAGCCCCAGAAAACACACACACGGATACACACACACACATTTTACCCCCACGCCTCACTGCTTTCTAGGGCTGTATGGCCGCATACTCTATCACAAGACCCAGATTTTACACAGCCCATTCATTGTGTGTCCGCCAATAACCCCCGCTCTTTCTGCTGATGAAAGGTTGAGGTTGATGGGGTGAGTAGCGTGTGGAGGGGAGAAAGGGAAGAATGCCTCGCTGCCTTGTTCGGCAATGTTGTCTTTTCTTTCCTGCTGTGTCAGGCCGGTGAACAACCTCAGCTTCCCTCTCACACTACAACCGAGTCTTCTTACTGACTGTACGTTATACATGGACGACTTGCTCTTTCGTGTTCTGTCACACGCACAGTGTCTGACAGTCAGGAGTGGTGTTTTTTTTCCTCCAGTAAATGGGCTACGTAATCTGTAGTTGCATTGGTGCTGCAGCAGGGCGAGAGAAAAAGTGACAGCAGAGGCAAAAACAGCAAACAGGGAAAAGTGCATTTCATGGCAAGAAGGAACTCTCTCTATCATGGCCACTCAGTCGTATGAATGGATGCAGCTACATCACTAAATGCATTGTTCCTGAACCATTTTGTTAGTAGTAGAAACACTTTATCAATTACACAATCAACAGAAAATCACCTTGATACTTTTTCTAATCTATTGATGGTTTAAAAACCAGCTGGTTATGACTACATTTGTTAACTTTAAAATGACAAAACAAGCAATCTGGGTTCTGAGAAATTCTAGTCATCATTTTCGAGACTGAATGATTAATCAAAATCAATAGATTAACCAATCATTGATTTGCAGTGCTAAAGGAGGGTGAGCTCTGGCCTCTAGTCAGTGGTCATCATAGGTCAAACAACCACCAATATAAGGAAAAAAAGCAAATTATTTTTAGAAAACATCAATTGTTTTAACTCTATTAACAGACACGTCCCTCTTGTAACTTAGAGCACCCTCAAATAATGTACTTCAATTTCCTTATGGTAAATATTAGCTCTGACAAACGTACTGTTCAAAGTTCATATTTTCAGATGCGATGATTATCATGTTTTGTCATGTGCAGCTTCTGAAATGAACTTTTTGACTCAGCAGCTGAGGGCAGTGGCAGTAACAAAATCCACAGGCCAAACATAATTTGAGATTTAATTGAGATAATAAGGTATTATGTTGAATACAAACTTAAACTTGAACAACTCATCACTAAAGCTTCAATATGTGTGTAAATAAAGGAGGATTTATACATGTGCATCAGCTCTATACAGAACCTGCGCCATAGCCTACACTGTTGTGAGCATTTATACTTGTGCGGTGGTGTATCTCTGTCACTCTGCAGTTACACCTCCAAAACACTAGTTGGCTGTGGGGTTGATTCAAAACACACATTAGACACACATTAAACACACATTAAACATGGCTTAATAGCGAATATTTGAAACACAAGTAGACAAATCAGCTTTACTATAACTCACAGCATTCACAGACAAACACTTGTCTTTATCTGGACACATTTTCCCCACAAATACAACATGCTAATGTTATTAGCACAAGCCTATGGCATTTTACATTATATAAATTAGCCTAGCTGCTAGCAGACTTTTCCTCTACTCATATTAAACCAGGGACAACCAATATTTAACAAAGGTGACATT